CACTCACTCACACATATTACTAAACATGTGCAAAGACTAAAAATTTACTTCGGACAAAATGAACGGAAACTAAAAATGTTTTCATTCGTTTCATCAAATTTTTCTCCTATTTTGGATTTGGCCGCCAGCGCATTCTGCGCATATTCGCCGCGATCCTGGAGGCGGGCACATGACGTCACATACCACACACGTCTGTTGGCGGGGGCACAATTTTCTGTTCTGGCCTCGGGCGCAAAAGGAGCTAGCTACGGCTCTGATTGGTGCTAATATAACTTTGACCCCCCAGCACTGCTCCCTAGTAGTGTACTGACTATGCTGAGAGCTCTCCTGCTGCCTGTGCTGCATGCTGACACTTCCAGCCACTATAGAGAAAGTTAGGCAGGGGGGCCCAACATTTTGCTATGGGGCCCAATGACTTTCAGTTACACCCCTGACAGGACAAATAACATTTCATGAATACAATCCATGTGGGGTAAACATCTCCAGGTCAGAGAACTCACTAGTTTGCGGATCCTGTCCAGCACCAGGTCAATGACCTCCTTGCCGATGGTGTAGTGACCTCGGGCATAGTTGTTGGCGGCGTCCTCCTTGCCGGTGATGAGTTGCTCAGGGTGGAAGAGTTGCCGGTAGGTTCCGGTCCTCACCTCATCTGTAGAGATATAACAATAATGGTTGGCATCCAAACTGGAGAGATTTTGGTGACACTTCCTAGTTTCTGATGAACTCTGAAGCATCCCTCAGTCCTAGACCACCATCACCAATCTACTCACCAATCACGGTGGGTTCCAGGTCCACAAAGACAGCTCGGGGGACGTGTTTTCCAGCCCCGGTCTCACTGAAGAAGGTGTTGAAGGAATCGTCTCCTCCTCCGATGGTTTTGTCACTGGGCATCTGTCCGTCCGGCTGGATGCCGTGTTCCAGGCAGTACAACTCCCAGCAGGCATTGCCGATCTGCACTCCGGCCTGGCCAACGTGGACTGAGATGCATTCCCTCTGTGTGGGGAGAAATGGTATATGCATTTAGTATGAGGGTAGGACAGAGTGCAGTCACACACAGTGTCAGGATATATAGAATCACAGAGTGCGGTCACACACAGTGTCAGGATGTATAGACTGGTAGAGTGCAGCGATATACAGGAATGTAAAGATCAGCAAAGTGCAGACACAGACAGGCATTGATCAGTCATACACAGGGATGCATAGACAGGCAGAGTGCAATCACACACAGCGATATATAGAATTGCAAAGTGCGATCACACACAGGGATAATGGTAGAGTGTGGTCTCACACGGGGATATATAGACAGGCAGAGTGCACACACAGGGATATATAGACAGGCAGAGAGCAGTCACACACAGGGATATATAGAATGCAGACTGCGATCACACACAGGGATAATGGCAGAGTGCGGTCACACACAGGGATATATAAAATCGCAGAGTGCGGTCACACACAGGGATATATAGACAGGCAGAGTGCGGTCACACACAGGGATATATAGAATCGCAGAGTGCGGTCACATGCAGGGTTAATGGCAGAGTGCGGTCACACACAGGGATATATAGAATGGTAGAGTGCGGTCACACACAGGGATATATAGAATGGTATAGTGCAGTCACACACAGGGATATATAGAATGGTAGAGTGCGGTCACACACAGGGATATATAGAATGGTATAGTGCAGTCACACACAGGGATATATAGAATGGTAGAGTGCGGTCACACACAGGGATAATAGCAGATTGCGGTCAGTTACTCACCATGATGCTGAATAAAATGGATCTCTCCGGGTTCCGATGTGTTAGGTGTTCGGGAAGGAGCGGTCGCTGTCCCCTCTCTCTCCTCTCCTCCTTATATATAGGAGGCAGTGACAGCAGAGTCCTTAGTAACAGGAGGGAGGTGGAGGGAGCACGGGGGCCGGTGACACTATACAACACAATCCTGCCTGGGAGCGGCTCCGCAATACACAACACAACTGTAACCAAGGACAAAGAGTGACCCCGCCCGGGGCAGAGAGGGAGGACAGGGAGGGAAAAGAGGACAAAAGGAGGGAAGAGAAGACAGAAGGAGGGAAGAGAAGACAGAAGGAGGGAAGAGAAGACAGAAGGAGGGAAGAGAAGACAGAAGGAGGGAAGAGGGGACAGAAGGAGGGAAGAGGGGACAGAAGGAGGGAAGACAACTCACATCATTCTAGAAGATTTTATATCAGAGAGAGGAAATGACTGTTACTTTGTAATTATCTATAAAAACTGTTATTGTAAAAACTGAACCGAGGAAAGTAAATCTTCTCTTCTGGCTCCATGACACAATGGGATCTGCATTGTAAACTCTTTATTAAGATTTATACACATTGTGTGTTATTTTTATTATTAATTCCAAATATATAATCGCATTCTGGATTTTTAGTTGATGGTTTCACAGACCCTTTTGGTATTTTTGTCAGTCCAAATGAAAACCGGATTTCTATTTAGAATGACAATTGTTTTTGTTTTGCAATACATTTTAATTTGTTTTTTTCATATTCTATAAGAGTGAATAAAAAAAAAAATATATATAACACACAATTATAATCACATGATACCATGAACATTGATAAGTCATATTCCAGTTCCTATTATTTCCTTTTTGATTTACCCTTAAAAAAGTGACAAAAAATGGCCGCACACGGCTTGTAGTGGATGAGCCCCTTTCCATGTACAGTAAATGGTCATTTTGGTCATCATGTGGAGCCTTTATCATGGGCTGACCATGCTGTGACTGGAGATGGATTTTCTAATCTATTGTCTATTCCATTGATTGGGGTCCACTAGACGTATGCGCATTGATTTGCTTAAGAACAGCCATGGGACTTTAATTACCATGACAGTGGAAATGCCAGTGAATATTCTGCCAGGGATGACAGTGACATCGGAGAGAGGAAAGTAGGGAGAGGAGGCTGAAGATGCAGTATATATCCCTGGCAAGTTCACACCAATTATATAAACAATGGGCAGGTTGTAAATCATAATGGGCATTGCTGTTGGCATACTTGGCACAGGTTGTAATGTGATATCATGTAGGTCAGTGGTTCTCAACCTTTCTAGGGCCGGGACCCCTTGGTAACATTTGCCAAGTTGTGGTGACCCCCAACGGTAAAATTTAGGGTTGACGCGGCTGCTGCAGCGACATCTGTTGGCGTGGTGGGAGAACTGACACTGCTGCGCTAGGAGAGGGCTGAGGAGGACTCTCACCGAGCACAGCAGAAATCACACAGCGACCCCCCCACAGCTTGAGAACCACTGTTGTAACAGCTAAAATGGCAAACCATATAACACAAGCCGAGGGTGTCAGCTTTTATTATTAATAATAATGATGATGATAATCTAATAGCCATCTAATAGCGGGAGACTCCCGGCGACCCCTGGCAAATTGTCATTCGACCCCCGAAGGGGTCCCGAACCACAGGTTGAGAACCGCTGATGTAGGCAACAGTGGCACAGCTGGTAGTTTCATCGGTATTACATTGGGGTGCCCATAGGATGGAGATGACAGCAATCAGATTTGGCTGTTTTTGCCCAGATCAAGTAACCATCCCATGTCTATGGATGGACCTCACCGACCAGTCTTTATCAGAGGAAATTGGATGGGTTAGAAAGTTCAGATTGCCATTGTTGGTTTCCTGCCCCTCTATATTGACAAGCTGACCTGGCACATAGTGTGCTCCAAGCACAATCAGGCGCCATAGTGGGCATGGGAGACCCTGTCAATTCCCTACAAAAGAAAAAATGTCTGTTCCTCTTTTCAGCGACTCATATCTTCTGCCTTCCCTCCATCCAACTCTTCAGCCTCCATCAGAATCTTTTACAATTCCAGGAGTGCTGTATGCCTGTGTCCTTTTTACCACATGCCGCAGCTCCAACCTATATCACTGCCGTGTCCTATAGTGATGGAAGATGGAATCACAGTCAGTGAGCAGGCATCTGACTCTCCCGGAGCTGTACCTCCAAACGCAGTATACCTCTTCTTTTGCAGGGACCTGCCATTTGGATTTTTTTTTTGGGGAGGGGGGGAGGGGGGGGCACTGCAGGGTCTCTTTAATGTGCATATAGGCCAATGCCATATGCTTTCAAATTGAATTTGAGATACCTATGAATTGCTTTTGAGTTGCTTTGAGTGTTTTTGTATTCCCATTGACTTGTATGGGGAGACAAGCAATTGTGATGCAAACAAATTCCCGTGTACACAGGCCCTAAGGGGCACAGTCACACCCATTCACAAAACAATGCACCAGACATGCGAGACCATTCATTTTCAATGTCACCCCAACACACTCTGGAAATGAACATGCATTACAATGCACCATTACATGTGATTGCACTTCTGTGGGTTGTGGGGTGCTGGCTTAAAGGCCAGCTCTGGTCACAATAACCCATTTCCCCCCCTCATTCAGGATTTCTCCTTTATCCCCCAAATTGTGCCTGGAGTTGGGCTTTATAAAAATGGCGCATGTCTGATTTTCAGTCTATTGTGGTGTGTTGGCAGCCCATTCAAATGTGACATATAATGCGTGTGTCAATTCACCTCAAGGGCCCAGATAGGCATGAATGGGCCCTAAGATTCTCAATACATCTTATATAGGGCTGATATAAAGCATTGCCACATCTGACTTAGATCAGATCTCTGGATGCTTGCTGGACAGATACACAATTCCTTTAAATAGCATGCTTGGGGGACACCTTAAACCTGCGGGCGCGTCTGTACAATGAACTTCAGCTAAAGTGACATTTATGCTGTACATTGGGGGGGGGCTTGCTGGTGGTGCACGTTACTAGTGCGTGGGGCTACCTCTGGGTCCGGCTCTATCCGGCATCCCGCCCAGCTCACTGTGTCACTGGTTGCCAAGATTTGAGCAAGACGCCATCCACAGCATCACAGCTTCACAATAGCTCTTAGTAACCTTGGACCCTCTGGCTGGAAAGGAGGAAGCAGACACACCTGTCATCCCCCCACATGACCCAATGAGATGCCGCCCAATGTAACCCCCTCAGGCTGCCTCATTATAGGGACGGACCTGATCGAAAAAAATTGCTGCTAAATAACATTTTCCAGCAGGCTTCTTTTAATTCCATAAATAACAGTGTAAAGTCCCCCCTAAAATACACAACGAACCCTACCATCCCACACCTTTAAAGAAAGAAAAAAGCCGGATAGTAAATGTCGTGTCCATTACAGATGATGGTTTGCTGGTTTTATATCAGTGTGTCGTGTGGCTGAGTGTTAGGAGTGTTGGGTTTCTCTGCCCATAGCTGCTCCTTTTGTTATTATGGTGATAGTGTGGAAGCTTCCCTGGTGACGAATGTATTTGCATGTTGTGTTTGAGAGCAGACATTGTGAGAGTGTGAAGAGGTGAGAGAAACTCAAATAATGACACCGGGGGCCACAAGCCAAGAGCCACCCCCCCCCCACGCATAACTCATAGACCGTGATATAAAAGGGTTCCCGGCTGACGGTGGAAGTCATAGAACTCAAAAATCCAACATTGTGTCTTTAGATCATTCAAAAACAGTGCAAAGTACTTGTAGACGAGTAACAATAATGATCTGGGGATCAGCAGGAACCCTGCGGGAGATTCAGGATATCAAAAGCCACGTTCACCTTTCTGACCATGTCTATGAAGGTTCTCATTCATCCAGGTCATGGTATATCCACAACTCCACCCCCGGATATATCTCAGACCTTGTCTCAAAGTATCACCCTAACCGTCCCCTCCGCTCATCCATTGACCTCCTGCTTTCCAGCTCCCTTGTCCACTCCTCCCATAATCGCCTCCAGGACTTCTCTAGAGTCTCTCCCATCCTCTGGAACTCCTTACCCCAACCTGTCCGTCTATCTCCCACCTTGACTGCCTTTAGGCGTTCCCTAAAGACTCATCTCTTCAGGAAAGCCTATCCCACCTCGACCTAACCACTGAACCTTCACATTATCACATAATTCATTCCCACACAGCTACCTCCTCATGTATCACTTCCCCCTCCCTTTTAGACTGTAAGCCCTCAGGGGGAGGGCCCTCCTTACCATCTTGTTTTGATTTGTATTGTGATTGTAATGTCTTCCTTATATTGTAAAGCGCATATAATAATAATAATAATCTGTAAATAATGAATCAAGGCAACTGGACTTGCTGTATTTTTTCATGAAGACGTTTTGCTGGTCATCCAACCAGCTTTCTCAATTCAGAAATGTAATCTGAATGATGAAAGTTAGTCGGATGACCAGCAAAACGTCTTCACGAAAAGTCCAGCAAGTCCAGTTGCCTTGATTTACTTCCGGCAACGTTTCATGTTACCACCATAAATGCGTCTATTTATTGACGTAAATGCAGCAAATCACATTCAGTGCAACCTTTCGGGGGTCTCACACGATCCTCTTCCTCCGGCTCCGCCTACGCCGCCGCGTCATCCATTCACGGATCCTTTGACGGTTTCTGAGTATGGAGAAACTACAAGTCCTACCAGCCACCACACCAGAGGGACTTGCAGTTCTCATTGGAATTCCAGTGCAGGGACATCACCACACTTGCAGTCCATTCATTCTTCCTCCCGTCCATGTTACCGAATGTCAAGATACCAACATGGACGGGAGGAAGAGTCTTAGGGTTGCCACCTGTCCAGGATTCACCCGGACAGTCCGGGTTTTGAATGCTGTGTCCGGGTTTCATGGCAGCAGAAACCCGGACACAAGATGTCAGGCAGACAGGGGCAACCAAAATTAATAAAGGGTCTACTGGTCCCCCACTGTACAGTCTCGACTGTGATATTTACATATGAATGGGTGGAGCTATTTAAATATGAATAACCCACAACTCCAAAAAAATGTCTAGGCGTC